TATATATATATATATATATATATATATATATAATTTGATTATTTGGCAGAGGCCTAAATATCGATTTCCCATGTGCAATATGACCCCATGATGAGAGCCCGCGTCATGTGCTTATAATTCGACCCCTCACGCACCACGGTACCATGATAGGGATCGAACCCTTGCCAGAGGACTTACAATGACCCTGCCTACCAACTGGACAAGGAATGCGACACATCATTATATAATTAATTAATTAATTAATTAAGGAAAAACTTCATTAAAATTTTAACTTTATTTAAAATGCTGAGATGATTTGACCAATATTTTGATGGGGATTAGTTTCGAAGACATTAAATCCATTCTAATATATAATTTTAAAAATAGCATTTTTTTTAATTTATTATTTTAAATGGACGCCCAAAAATAAAATTTTCCAAATTAACAAAGGCGTACCATTTTGGAAAAAAATGTATATTTTTTTCTATTTTAATTTGAAATAAAATATGTTTCTTATATTTGATTAAAATATATATGATTGTTTCTAAAATTACTCGAAACCCTAAAAATTGTGAAAAATATAAATATAAAAAATAAATACAAAAATAAATAATTTAATTTTAGAAATAAAAAAATAAAAATATATAAAAAAAAAAACACAGTAAAATTTTGTTTAAGAAAACAAATACAAAAACAAAAATAAAAGATGAAATTCAACCCAAATACATCCTAAGATTATGTTTGGGGTCACTTGTTTTTTATATTTTTATTTGTGATTTTATTTTAAAACTAAATTTTTTTAGTATAATTTTACATTTTTTTATTTTAAAAAATAAATTAACTTTTATCTAAAAAGAATCAAAATATTTAGAGCCTCTTTTTGAGTTTTATAAAATCAATTAAATATGCTATAACTTATTAAAAATATGTTATTTTAAATAAATATTTAAATAAATTAAAATTTATTCCAAAGAGACCTTAAATTTTTAGAACCAGTAATTAGACTTTCATTTCCTATTATCTCCATTGCATGCAGTTCTGAGATGTATCAACTAAAAGGAAGTGATAATAATAAACATGTTAAATATATTTTAATTTTTTTAAAGTTATTTTAATTTCAAAATTAAAAGGAATAGAAATAATTCTATGTTTTCTAATTATTAGATTGATTTTCTTAAAAAATATTTTTTTTGGCAATAAGCCCTAAACTCTCAGAATTTTGATTTATGTTTAGCTACTTATAGTTATTAAAGCGAATAAATAAATATTTAAATCATTAAATAATAATCTAAAACTTATTAGAAAATCTCTTAACAAAATATTACATTAAATTGATTTTCTTATTTATATCTATAGCTATTTTACACATTCAAATTCGAATCTTAAACTTAATTTTACAATTAATATTAATTATATATACATATTTTAAGACAGAGTCATTTAATTTTATAACCTATAAAAAATATGATGTTACATTTTATTTGTCTTATATTAGATCCAATATGTCATCTAGAGTTAAATTTATATATTACTTTATAATATTCTTATATTGATATGTTCAATGGATTAAAAAAATTTGAAAAATAAATTATATTTTTATTAATTTATTACTAAGCAGTAAATTTTTGTTATTATATATATATAT